TTATATTATTCGACGAATTTCATGTTTTCCAATAGAGAGAAAAACGAAAGAGAAAATTATGAATATCCAGTATCAAACAGCGAAACGGCATCGCCTCTCTCTGATGAAGAGTGAGAATAAAAAAGCAATCACATGCATGTGAGAGAGATATAAAATCTTGAGTAAATATTTGTCACCATTGAAGGACACAATATAATATATGCACCTGTAAATATATTTCTAATTCTAGCAAATATTCTAAAGCAAGTTTACAATACACATTAGAGGTTCACAATGTCTACACAATCGCAAAATTCCACAAATAAGATTATTCTGTACGAATTGACAGGGCGTCCTGGCGGTGCTCTCTTCTCACCAAACACGTGGAAAACTCGCCTCTGTCTACTGCACAAGCGTGTTGACTTTATCGTAAAAGAGTTAACTCTTCTTGAAATACGCGGATGGCTTGCAGACAGAACTGGAAACCCGTCCATCCTCGTGCCTTGTCTGGAGCTACCGGATGGGACATTCATCGAGGATTCGTTTCGTATTGCTCAATGGCTGGATCGCGTCTATGTGAGTACTCCCTCACTTTTTCTGCCATCCTGTTCCTTACCTTATCCGTCTTCATCGATGCCGGAGATGCAGACTGCACATGCTTATGCGTGCTTAATCAACGATGGTCTTGGGGCTAGCAATCCACAATGGACGCCATGGTTCGAAACTATGGTTCTTCGATTGGCAGATGAATTTGATGGTGCTGATCGAGAGTACTTTTGCTCTGACAAAAAAGTAAAATGTTATTTTACTGCACGATTGTGTCTAATGGAGTCCTGCCGTTATAATGCATCACTACTGTATCATTATGCACTCAAATTCTGGCGAAAACTAGCTCTTCTAGGGATTTCAAAATAAATGAATAGTTTTCCTGGGAGGAAAAGACACTTTCGCTCGAATCACATCATTAAACAGAGAAGAAATATTGTCTAGGTGCAAAACTGCATTATTACCGATCAAAAATATGCTGCGATCAGCAGATTACTTGCAATCGCCAACGGCACCTGGCTTCGTGGACTATGTGTTGTTTGGTCGATACGCGATGTTTCGAACGGTGGATCGCCAACTGGCAAAAACTATATGGGAGGAGAGCGAAGAGATTAACAAATGGGTGGATAGAATGATGCAGCTTTACGATGGACACGCAACGGCTATCATTGATCGTGCCAATTAGAATAGACGAAGAAGACCTAAACAATTTGACCATATAACTCTGCTACTGCAGGAAAAATCTGGAATGTTATTTTCGGATTGATAAATATACAAACACCTAGTTTTTCTGATAAGTTTTGACAACTAAGTGTTTGCATTTTATCATATTTTCTGAATGGAATATGATACAGTTATTATGAATACATCTCAAAGTCTTCCGCACACTTTTCTCTTTAATCCATGGTCACAGAGCTTTGGACATTTCGTCGCTTGAAAATTATAAAAGAACGAAATGCAAAAACCACATTGCAGATTTTCACTTTACTAGTAGAGTTTGATGGTCAAGTCAGAAAATAGAAAATGAATGTCGTTTATTTGATTTTACCGAATTCTTTCTAACTAATAGAGTTCATCGCCTGCAACTGTTACAGTTTTATGTTATTTGAATACAAAAAGAAAAGCAAGTTAAACAATGCTTCAAGCATGCCTTGCTGTAGCTATGCTACTGGTTAAAAAGATCATTTGATGGAAAAATCTTTTGAATGGTTAGAAACCCGTCCTTGTATTAACAGCGTATATTCTGAGTGTTATGGTAGAAAAATGACCGAGAGCTGCATGCAATATTTATATTAATAATGCTTTCATCGGCAACCAATGCGATATTCGTCATCAGCGCAAACGTCTGCATATATCCACTAATTTTTAGAAACACTTCGAACAAGTTCCGATACAAGTGCCTCCTCGTCTGTCACTTAATACCATAATAGTCTCCGTTACTGGAGATGTATAGGGCTATGCATTCATACGGTATATGTGGAAGCCAAGACTCAAGCGTAAGGTCTAGCTATACGTTCGCCTTATTAGAGCAATGTCGTTTTTTCCTAGGCGAACGGTAAGCAGTATTTTCGTATGATTTTGTGAATTATACAAACGAGTCAATTGCATTGCATTGCCTTTTATTAGCAAGAATGAAAGTAAATAAATATTTTTTCGGAATGACTATTACCATTTCCGAGAGCGTCGACAAGCACCTATTGGCATACTATCCTAGGAACGAAGTAAACTTATACGAAAGCCATTCGTCACTTTCTTGCTGGTTGTTTGACTGTTCCGACGAGATACATTGGAGGGTCAAGATGATCTTTCGACAATTTCTTTCAGTAAATTTGTCAAAAGATTAACTCACACAAAAATACACGGAGATTTTTTTTCTACTTCTGCCGGGAGATAGACACGTGCTCGGGGAAAGCGAGCCCTGTCCGAACGACGATAGCTGGAGAGCCGGGACTTGCATAATTTTGTAGAGTAACATCCAGACTATGTACGCCTGCAAAAACGATTATCAACATTGTATGTTGATAATCAGCTTCGTTTACTGAGAACGAAGCTGGTTTTCCAAAGATCCTCTAGAAACCCGATCTTTGAAATTTTTCAAAATTATTTTCCGCTTGAGAAAAGTTCCGCTCAAGCCTTGGCTATCGAACAGCGAGAACCGCAGGTCTCTATCTCGTTTCCGTCGAAAGGTATTTAAAAAATGCCCAGCCACACTGTATTTTAGGATGGATAGTAATAATCAATAACATGCCCTTGTTTTGTTTACCTTTGGTGATGTTTTGATACGTCACAATTTTTATAAGATCTTGAAGTCAGAGATGATTGTCTTCAAATATTTCCTTTGCTATTACAATAACTTTCTCGTAATTGATCACTGCGCCTTCATAATCATATTTACTATGGTACAAACCTCCGATATTATTATAAAGTCCTGAATAATCTCGTTTAGTTTCTAATGAATCATCTCAGGATGCATGTTCAGGCGCTTGTTCATAATCTTTTAGTGCCTTATCATGATTTCCCCCATTTATGATGTACGAGTCCACGATTCTTATACAATTTAATAAGTGATAAATGACGCACTGGTAAACCTTTTAGAAGAATTCTACGAATATTTTTATAATAGTTACGTGCAATTTCCTGATTAGGACCTTGCAACTATTCTCCAGGTGTTTTTCGCCTTTGGCAAATATCGTCGGATGATGGAGAATATGATTTTGATAGGTTCGTTTTTTCAAAAAATAATAAAACTACATGTGGTTTATTCATTTCATAATACAAATATTCCAAGATTATTATAAATAGTGTCGTTTTGTTCATCATCATCTTGCAAACAATCTTCTAGTGCTTTTTGTAACATTCTTCAGCTGTGTTATGTTTACCTAATTCTAACAAAATATAGTACCGTTTCATATCCTAAAGGTGGACAATTACCGCCTGCGCAGCATTCAGCAACTTCAATATCATGGATAGCAAATAAAAATTCATTCAATGAAATAAGTTGATTGATACAGTCTTTTAGTTTATATATATCTATAGAAAACATTTTTTTTCCTCTGTAGACGTGATTAGGAACAGGGAAAAATTTACATCATGTTTTTGTTCAAGACTTTGTTAGAAACTCTTTCAGAAAACTGTAAGACTTCAAAATTCAAAATTTTGCTTTTCGAGTCCAGTTTGGATCTGAAGGAATTTATCATTAAATTCGAATACGAAACCTTTTCTTGAATTTTGCAGTCGCTTCTGCTTTTTTATCATGTATTTTTGAAAAGTCAGCAAAAACGAATAATCCCGAATGAGACACTGGCATTGAACGAACAAGTTTGATGACTAACAATAAACTGTTCTGTCCACTCAGGCTCAACGGTTTTTCGTAGCTCCGGCAGATGACTGAGAGATCAAAAAATGTTCGCCAATTTCTTGTAAAAAAAGTATTGTAACATTTCCACTTCAGAAAAAGACGCAGATGCATAAATCATATCCATTCTGGTGAGGGTAAAGACATGGAATTTTTGGGCTATGCCTAGCTTTCAGCTCTAGCCCCCCTCCCCCCGAGTCGGTCTTCTATTTTGTCCTGTAGGTCGAATTCTAAAGGGTGGCCTTCCATTGCGGTTAGATTTTGTCGCATCTAGTAGTCCAACGGTAACCTCTCACATACTTGAAGTTCATCCCTTATCAGAACAACATATTGGCAAAATTCCTTTAAAAATAGCCCTATATAGGGCTATATACAGCATTTTTCGATTTTTTTGGCGGCTATAATAGAACAGTGTTCTTCTATTCTGAGAAGGGGATTAGAAGACCATGGTCTTCTGTTTGGATTTTAAGTCATATAATCAGCCGTAGTCCTCTATTAAGGGGGGTTACTTCAATTGTCCATTACGGCTGCATATGCTCGTTGTTACGTCATTACCTATTTCTAATAGAATAATAATGATACTCTCAAAATAAACATAGGAACTCATCAAATTTACTATAGCAAGAAGCAGAAAATCTGCCAATCTATTGACTAGGTATTAAGTCTTTTGCAAAAGTAAACAGCATCACATACATCTATAATCATGGTTTCAAAAACTGAAATAAAAAATGTCACATTGATTTTTCTACAGTCAGTAAAATGCCATCGAAATCTGCTGTAAAAAGAAAAAATAGGAATAATTTAAATTATTTTATACGCAAAGAGCTTTCTTTTCTTTGGCGTACAAAAACTAATGACACCTATTAATAGTTTGATTTTAAAAATCATGGAAACGGTGTTTCTTCATAATATTTGTTGTTAAAAAATGCGATAGAATAATTTCTCTACCGAATAGGGACGGGTAATTGAAAAGTGTTAAAGCAAAGACGGCGAATATTAATCTTTTTTAAAATATTTGCTTTTATAGAATACCGAATTTATGAGTTTTTCGAAAAGCTCTTTTTCAAGGCAGCCATTTGCAAGAGTATCATTTCCAACTCTGCGCTTCATCAATTTTGGTTCAGTAGTTTTCGAGATCATTCTTTGCCATAACACATCTATTATGAGCATTCGACTGTTGTTGATAAACAAGTACGTAGGCCGATTTTGTCACAACATCTTGTTCATCGATGTAAGATACGGTGCCACTATCATCGAATCTATACCATTTTTGATCCAAAGATTTTTTTACATGTGTCGTATAATGTCCACTGCCTGAAAGATCCATATTATTTGACACAGCAATTAAATCATATTTTGCATTTTGTTTTTCACCGTGGTTCGATACAAACTGTGATAAATCTAAATCACGTTTTGGACAATCAACAAAAAGATCAATCTTATTAAAATAAAAATGATTATAGTTAAACCTTTTCAATTGTATATTCAAGACTTTTGGTAATAACCATAAGTCACTGGTTTTTACGGCTTTTTTCAATGATTTACATTGGGGACAATACCATTGATCAAGATCGGATAATTTTTCTTTTACTGTAAAATGTGTAAAACAATCTAACAGAGATATCATCGATTGTTTTTCTTGTTGAATTCTGTTTGTTCCGAAACTTATTGTTGACACCCTATTGTCTAAGCGTTTTTGTTCATCTTTTTTATACTGATTGACAATGTGTTGAGCAACATCGCAAAAGAGAGTGGTGTTTACCCGTGTAAAATCAAATAAATGATCTAAAACATCATTTAGTAATTTGGTTGTTTCTACATTATTTTGCTTAAAGACACAATGTGCTACATAAAGTGGCTTTGTTGTACCATTAACAGATGATGTATTTAACGGTAAATAGTTTTTTATTGTTTGTTGTAATGCATCTACAATATTTTTACCATGACATATATGTCGTGGAATATTTAAATAAAATGGGAGACCAAAATTTTGATGCCAGATGTCCCCTGCACGTAAGAAACATGGCATTAATATTGTTTCATTGTTTTCTTTGTTCAACGAAACGGGCACTTCATAGAAAACAATTTGATCATGTTCTAATATATTTGATAATAGACTGTCATTCGAATATTGTAGATGAACACAATGATTATAGACTTCTGTTGGTAATATATGATCCACTTTTGGTATATGATCATCATTTTCATCCAAGAAATCATTATCATTCAAATTTTCATCATCATTATCTGGAGTAACCTTTAATTCATCAGCGGTTATTGTTGTTGCAGCAAGCTTTTTTCGTGAAAATTTTTGTACAAAATTTTCGATTAAACTTAACATTCTGCCTTGCTTATGTGTTTTAACATTATAACATTTTATTTTACCATTTTGACGCACGTATTCAACTTTAAATACACGTAAATTTTTCTTATCTGGTATTGGTAAATGTAAGAAAGAAATTGGATCGAATGTACGTCTTGTTGTTTCACAGTCTAAACATTGTATTTGTGACTTTAGTTGACCATGAAACAAATCACTTATTTTGGATTGATTCCATTTTTTATAATATTCCCATTGTTCTTTAGCCAAATCGGAATCATTTTTACTACCATCATCATCCTTTTTTTTTTCGTTTGTTTCTTGTGTGACTAAGTTTAAGCCTGCATGTAAACCATCTAATAAAAAGCTTAAAATGACAAACGAATCTCTATTCGATTCATTATGAAACTTATGTTGATACTGATTCAAAATTCTTATTAATTCTTCAGTTTGCCAATGACATTGTCTTGTCCTCATTTGTTTAACCAAACGAGCATAAGCGTTTGCAACCTGTCCCTCAATATCGCTTGGCTTTAAATTTAAAATATATGCTGTAAATTCGTCAACACTGTATAAGCATTCTAAAGCGGAATTGAAGCATGAAAAATCACCATTATCAGCACCGACAAGTACAAGATTATGTTGAATGTTTTCGTTAATTGTGTCCTAGAAAACAGAATAAATCATTGCTACACGAAAATATATTTTTTATGAATGAGTGTTTCAATGGCGATGGTTGCCTGAAAAAGAGAATTATTTGTTCTACCTTCACCTCACTTATTTGGACTTTTTGTTTTTCTTTCGTAATGGTAACTATTTTTGAGTAATCTATTGGATTTGACGTAACGTAAACAGCTTTAGTTCTGAAATACTCAATGTTAACTCGCATTTCATCCAGTTGTTTGTTCCATTCTTCAATATCCGGTTCAACATAATCACTAGTCGTATTTTTTTCATGTAATTCATTGGTTAATGATCGAAATTCCTCTTTTATTTGCTCTTCTATTTTTTTATCAGTTAATTCAGATAACCGTTCCCGTGCCTTATTAAATACAAGTTTTATTTTCGCCATCGTTTCTGCTTCCAACTGATTAATTTTTTCTAGAGGATCAACAGCAATTTGAGTATTAAAATCTTGTTGTATTTGTGAATGTTGAGCAATAATGCAATTAAAGTCCACGATAATTTTATCACGATGCTGCGTAAAATGTCTAGTACAAAATGTTTCTCGACATCCACCACATACAATAATACCAGTGCCTTTTTCATTATCTTTTTGACATGTAAAACATATCACAATTGGACGACGTTGAACTTTATTTGTTGACATTGTATTCTAAGTTAAATTATCAAAATATAGGGCTTGAAAAAAGTATGTACCTTTACATAGTTTATGGCCACCCTCCTCATCAGCAATATAGATTTTTCAAAAATAGTCAGTATTGGGCTAAGCACATGTTGCTCAAGGTGTCTACTATTAGAATCCTTACTGATTTTACCAACATAGAGAAAGTTTTTCACTTCAGTTTTTTAGCTCACAAATTAATTTTTTCATGAAACCATCTCCATTCTGAAGACACTAAAGCGTATAAAAGTCTATAGTTTATAAATATTTATAGCTCCAATTACTATGCGTTCCAAAATACAATGGTTTCGGATATTTTCCGAACACCTTTTCACAGAAATGGGATAGAGACCTGCAATTTTCAGTTCTGAAAACTAGATACCTGACCACATACTTCAGTAAACAAAAGCAAATTTCGGAAAAACTGTGGATACGGGTTTTTCGGAAGATCTTTGGAAAACTGGCTTGGCTTTTCCGAAATTCACATAAGAATGTATTGATTTTTTTCATGGACTGAGAGCCCGAGGTGTTTTCTTCAAAATAGGAGTAAAGTGAGACCTTGATTTTGTGCGGTTTGCGTGTTGTATCGGATGTCCGACGAGTCCCAGGACTGGCACCCGGTGACTCTTGGTAGCCTTAAAGACGGATGGAGTATGAATTATCGACCATGCTGAGTGTTGTGGCAATATTTGTTTATAGAAAAAGTTCCAAAAATCTACCGAAAAGCCAGTTTTACTAAAATTAGGGTTTTCAGCCTGTTTTCACCTAGTATTAAAAAATTCAATATTCACCCAAAAAACATCAGAACAAGTTCAAAACTTCAGAATGTATAGTATTTAAGCTACTATATATCCGGTTTATAGGAGATCTTGAATTAACTGTTAAAAAAGCCTAAGGGTTTCTAAAAGGGTTTCTCGAAAACCTATTATTAAACCTATTAAAAATATGCTTTTCGATTTCTTGTCGATCTTATAACCGCGTTTACCGGACAACATTAATCATATCCCGAGATTCTGAGCTTGTTCTGATGTTTTTTTTACCAAAATCTCATACTATTTAGATAAAAATCAAGCAAATTACAAAGTCATTTTAATGCTGAACGGACTACGCCGATAGTTATCGTCATTTCGGAGCAAGAAGCGATTTACTGAAAAGAGTTGTTAACGTTCCACGTTGAATCGAAAGTTCGAAAAAACCGCTGAATCGGAAAAAAAGTGGTTAAAATTCTGGTAGCCATACGTATGCACCCGCACTGAAAAGACCGATGTTCGGGTTAAACTGACACCGAAAAGCTCTCAAACATTCTTATTTAAGGTTTTAAAATGCTATAAAGAGTGAGCACATAACAACTATGTATCGGTTTTCGGTCAACCGACAATCAAAAAACTAAAACCAGAAAAAAGGACACACAAATCCACATCTTGACTTAACGACCGAATTTAATATCTGATATTTGCCCCTTAGTGGATGGAGTATGCCATATGTTCTTCCTTCTGATCATCTGTGTTATATCCTGCGATTTCTCGAGTTGCATATAGCTAACGAGACACTAAATTTCACAATAATACTAACGAGGCGACCTATACAGTGTCGATCATATGACTTGAAAGCCAAACAGAAGACCATGGTCCTCTGTTATGTCCGCCAAAAAAAATCGGAAACTGCCGTATACCTATAAGGCAATTTTCAAAAAAAATTCTACAAAATATTCTTATAATGGAGGATGGACTTCAAGTATGTGAGGGGCTATAGTTGGGCTACTAGCAGGTAGCACAATTTGCCCGCAATAGAAGAGTACTCTTTGAACTAGACTTGCCAGACACATAGACGACCAGGTGGTCTTCTATTATGGGGGTACCATCTATGAAAAATTCTTGAATGCGACGATGTTCGATTTCTTCGGTGTCGGTTTAAACCGAGTATCGTTTTTTTTGTGTCGGTTTTCCAATTTGAAAACCGAAACCGAGACCTTGATTTTCTGTCGTTCGGGCGCTGTATCGAATTTCCTACGAGCCCCAGAACTGGCACCAGGCGACTATTGGCAGTCTTGAAAGCTGATGGATTATACGTAATCGATCATGCTGAGTCTCGTGGCATTATTTGTTTTTAGGAAAAGCTTTAAAAACCTAGCAAACAGCGAGTTTTATGAAAT